CCCTCGCTCCACCCGTGCTCCACGATGCATCTCTGTTGACTGGAACCTGTGGGGAAAAAACCTGGCGAAAGCAGAAATTTTGTTATACAATAGCCAGATGGAAGGACATGGTTTTGAAGACCTCAGAACTAGCCCCAGAGTGTTCAGAATTGGGTTTAAGGGTTTGGGTTTTCTTTTCAAAGCCACAAAAAAAAAGCGGTTCATTGCTTGATCCTGAATGCGCACGGTCTGTGCTCTCCCAGGCTCGGTAAGATCTGATTGAGCTCATCCCTGGGAACGCTTGCGCGGATACTCATAATGCTCTGTCGTTTTAATTTCTCTCGGAATATTGTATTAAAAGGCTGTCTGATGAGGCCAAACTAATCCAATTCAGACTTTTGAAGACAACTCCTTCAAGGTGTCAGGGGTACGTTGCTTATGTATGTCTTGAAAGAAATTCTTCGGGGTACTTCCCAGGGGTAGGAGTCCCACCCTCGGAATGGCTTTTCTTTTTTGTCCTCCCGCTGATGAAAACGCATTTAGGCCGTGGCCTGAGCGGCATTTTTGAGCACGTCGCTCTTGTTGCAAGGGTCTGCGCCAGCCGAACGAGTTGCCCAGCCTGGCTTTGGCTGTGCCTGTGAGAACTGCCCGTAAGCCCCTCTGATGAGGTGTTACAGGAACGGATTGCCCCGCTCTCTCCTCACCACTTCATAACTCGCAGATTGGGCCGGCAGTTCTGCGGAGTGTCAGGGCGTAGCATGCTTATTTCAATTTCTTACAATTTTGCCAAAATGTCGTTGTTGGAGAGGGAAGTTTGTGACAGGTACCTGCCCTAGGCCGTAGATTCTTCAGCCAAAGCGGGCAGATCATTTCAGAGATAAGTTTGAGGCACAGTGGTTTGTTTCTTTTCATTAGAGAGAGAAAGGGGTTGTCCCCGGTGTTGCTGGGGTGGAGTGGGGCTGCGCTCTGGGACAGGGGCGCGCATTTCTCTGCCGTTCAGCTTCGGTCATATACAGAGAGAATTGTAAAAGCAGGCAAGAGCATCCCTCTGGAAGGTGATAATCCCCTGAACAAGTGCGTTTCCCCGTGCTCAGCGCAGTCCGCTTCGGCTTTGAGCCGCGGCTGGCGCGCTTCGGGGGGAGGGAGAGCTGCCGGCACATCGCGGCGCTGCGTCCGTCCCGCGCGGAATCAGGCGAAGGGCACACAACGGAATTAAGAGGGTGAACGTTGTCTGTCTGGTGCTCCCGGTGCGCCCTCCGAGGTGTGGGCTCAGGCAGCGGCAGAGCGCGACGGGGAGTCTGAGCGCAGCCGGGACGCGGGTCGAGCCGAGGGTGGGCGGTGGGAGCGGAGCTGCGCGGAGCGGGATGGCCCTCGCTGAGGCGACTGGAAGAAGGCAGCGGGTAGCTAGGAAACGGGGAACTAGTAACCGGGAGGGAGAAGATCCAAGTTTGGGGGCAGATTGCTGAGGTTTGGCACCAGCGTGTTGGGGAGAAGCCCGAGTGGATGAGGCGGAACGGGCAGAGGGGTTAAAGCGGTGCCCCCGCGCGTGCAGGAGAGGCGGCCGGGCTGGCCCGAGCTTCCCTTCGCCGCTGGGCGCCCCACTGCGCCGCTCTGCCCCCAAACGCGCACCGGGGGAGGGCACGAACGGTGCGCATCGGGTCACGGGCGCCGTGGGACTCTGGGGCCTTCCTCACCCGGCCAGGCACGCCTGTGGGGAATTCGTACGCTGCTCTATGGATTTACAAAAGTAGGGTTTAGTCATCTGGTTTTTTTTTTCTTTTCCTTTTTAAGAGGTGCAGCGAGCCTGACGTAAGCATTGCCTGTGTCCTGTGCGTATCCTAACCTCTGCCCTCCCCTGTCCTGTCCTGCCCGCCCCTCTCTTCCTTGTAGGTTGAGGAACTGAGCCCGGGATTTTCCAAAGCGGGCAGAGTGTACGTCGCCAAGGTAACCGGCTGCTTGTTGCTTTCTTCAGTTCAGTCACGTGCTTCTAGGGTACGAGATATTAAAATAGGATAAGAAATATTAAAAAATTATCTTTGGCCCTGAAGTGCTAAGCACGCGTAAGTTACTCCAGGCAGAAGCAAGATTTTACGAGACGATAACATTTCTAAAAAAGGCCGAATCGCCTCGTGCAGAGGCATTAAAATTCAGAGAGGGTTTTGCCCTCGAGTCATGCAGTGGAGCGTCCTTCTTGGTTTTTCACGGGTCGAATTCTGTATAAAGCGGCACGGGTGACTCGCGAGCCGCAGGCTGGAGGCTTCATCCCACCACCACCACCACTGTGGGTTTCTGTGGTGTGTACAGAAAGAGACTCCCGGGGAAAAGTGAAGGAGAAAGTATGTCTCTCTCGTACCAGTACAGATGGGAGTCGTGAGCAATGATTAAATACCCGACGGGGGCCCGGAGCTGGAGCTCCAAAGATCTTTTTTTGTTTGCATTGAGGGAGTCATTTGCTTTGAATTCTTAACGGTTGAAATTGCTGCTTAATTCCTGCAATCTCCAGTTGGAGTCTAGAAATATTTAAAGCCCAAATAGCTTTAGAAATACTAGCCAGAGTGGGCGTAGCTAAGAGTAGCTGTCGTCATTCTCCGTGAAATTCCCAAATTCCCAATTGTCCCAAAGAATGTGAGTTTTCTCAGGGTAGCGTGCAAGTCGTAGGCTCTGCTCGGTCTGGGGAGGGTTATTGCTGGAACCTAGGTGCAGAATTCACTTCACAATAAGCATCTAGTAAAAACCGGGGTTTCGTTGTGTGCAGCCTGCGTGGGCTGGTAGGGGTTTTATGGGGCTAATGGCTCACCACCCCTCTGGCAGATGTGGCTCAGCTTCAGAAACACTCTGCGAACCCAAGTTAGCATAAAGGTTAATAGGACTGCTGTATCTGTTTGATTTTGGCTGGGGGTTTTGCCCTAATCTCAGGCTCTGGCCCTTTGGGTCACATCCTTAATCACAACATTTAAAAAGTGCAATTGGCGTCTAATTATTTGGAAGGAGATAGTGCTCCGATGGGTCAAACTTCAGTGAAAAAACAAACTGTGTTTTGTAGTCGTCTTCGGGCATTTTTGGCTGACGCGCAGGGACGCGGAGTTTTTAAGGGCTTCGAGGATGTCCATGACTTCGTCTGGTTTGGATTTGCCAGATGCAGAATTTGACAGCGCTCGCAGCAGAACAGGCTCAGAACTGCCCCACGACCCAGGAAAATCACCAAAGTACAGACGCGCTCATACCGCGCAGTGACATTTCAGTCTGAAGTGACAGAGCAGCCCCGCAGGAGTTGGGCTGTTGTCCTCACCCTAACTGAACGTCGGCTTTTTACGGCAATTGCAACAATGATTGACTGCATTGCTGATGGGGGTTGGGTTTTTTTAAGCAACCGCTTCCTTTTACCGTGCGTATTTCATAGTCCCCGGTGCTGCCGTGACCCTCGAGGCACCGAAAACCTTCCTGTCACATAGAGGGGGGACTCTTCCTCTGCTGTTGGAGAAGAGTCCGCTGTGAGGAATATTTCACGGCTGTTGTGAGACCTGAGAGACCTGTAAATATGAGATGTCTCGGCGCTTGCAGTCGAACCTCATTTTTCACAGCCATGGGAATGTAAGGTGTGCTCTCGGGAGAGAGGTTTCATAATGAAAGCGGTGTGAGGAATAGCGGCAAAGTGGAAATAAAAGTAGAGCTTTGAAAGTGCTGAAAATGACGGGGACACCTTAAAGTCTCCGATCACAAAACCAATCTCCTTGCCCAAAACAAAAAGACGAGAAAGGAAACCTCGTGTTCCGTCATGTGCTGGTGATGGTAACGCTCAGGGAATGAAGGTACTGCGGGGAATGTCAGAAGCCTGAAACTATACAGTGCAAACAGTTAAGAGGTAGAAACAGCTCTCTTTATCAGTTGCCAGGGGCTGTAATTGCTCAATTATATTTGCTGCCTGTTTTTTCCCCGTTTAACTCTTCTCACGTTGTCATTTTTTCTCTCCGCAGTGCTACAGGGACATGGGGAACAACGCCGCCGCTGCTCTCTGGATGAATCTTGCCTCAGAGCTGCCGGTCAATACAAAAGAGGTAGCGGGCTCAATAAGCATGCGTTGGTCATGAGCAGAGATAAAACTGTTTTCTAAAAGATGTTCCCGCTCGTAAGCCCAGGTTTTAAACTATTTTTGTTCCTTAGCGTGGACTCTCTTCTTGGGCCACTTGAGCGGAGTGGTTGTCCGGGCCGGAGCGGTGCCGGTTGCCTTTGGGGGTGGCTGTGGTGGAGCTGCTCTCAGCTCTCCGGGGGCCACCTAAGCTCCGCAGCTCCCCCGGGCTGGAGCGCGCTGTGCGGAGCCGCTCGGGGCTTTGTGGGTGCTGCCCAGCATTTTTATTTATATATATATATTTTTTTTTAAAAATATCTGGAATATTGCAGCTCTTTTGTCCCTCTCACCGGGTTTTGGAGAGCAGGCTGTACTGCGTTTTGGAACCCGCCCTGTGGCAGCGCTCCCCAGCCGGAGCTCTTCGGCACTGGCCTTTTCCTTTGCGCTTCTCCCGTTAAGCGGAAGCTCTGGAGACACTGCCTTCAAATTACTGCCAGTTAGAAACTGAATCGAAACACGGCAGCTTTTAATATTAATCCGATGTTATTTGCATCGTCGTGACAAACGCAAGGGAGGTAACGTAAACACAGACCCTACAGCTGCAGCCTTCCCCTGACGGCGTGGGCGTTCTGGGTGGAAGGCAGAGTCCTCGGACTACACCGCGCTTTCGTGCCGCTGTTTGTGAGGCCATAACCAGTTTTTAGGTTGCTGTGGCGAAAGTATTGTGCCCAGATTCAAACCCAAGTGCGCAAGAGGTCTCGGCGAGCCGTCTGGCGAGGAGCTGGCTTGCCTGCGCCACCACCTGCAGGGCACTGGCCAGTACTGCACAAGCCACTGGGCCACCGCCTGCGGCCGCGTCCGGGCAAACCAGGGACGGGGCAGAGTCCGTTCCCTTCTGGCGGAGGGGAATGCCCGAGCTCTGCCTCGGGAGGAGCGTCCTCACCGCGCGCTGGTTGGGAGTCGCTCTAGACAGAGGTAGAATGGTATGTCTGAGCAAGAGAAAGAGGGTTTCTTCCAAAAGAACATGAAATATACGTGTTGGAGGCACAAAAGTTTAATCGGGAAAGCACTGAGATTTTCAGGAGAGACTCGGAGAGAGCTACGGGCGGAAAAGTCATGAACGGTTAATTCTCTCTCCTGCTCTGAAATTAAAAGAGGGAGTCGAGCAAGGAAGCCCGTGCTGAAGTGGCTTCGGTTAAGTCTTTGCAAGTGTTAGTTCTCGTCATCAATCAAATGACGTCCATCACGCTGAGAAGGAAAACCGAAGGCATTGGTCCAGACTGCAGGAGTCGGGGAGGGAGCAGGGCTTGGATCCTGCTGTCCCGCTTGTCGGTGCTCGCCTCTCAAAGGAAACGGCAGAGCAACTCTCTTTGATACTTGGAGCGCTTCGATAGGCTTAAAGACAGCAGCGTTGAGAGGGAGGTGCGGGGAGGAGAAAAAACCCAAAGCAGTAGGAGGAAAAATGTGAGGCTGGGATATGCTTAAAGCCTGGTGTGGGCCTGGAGAAGAAAAGGGAAATTCTCTTTTTGAATTGTTTCGGTTAGGCTGTATATTCATCCGTTCTCTTGTTGCATTTCCAGGATGCAGAGAGCGAGAGAGAACTCGCAGAGATGCGGTCAGTCTGGCAGGAATAACTACGGAAAGGCTCGTTCCGCTTGGTACTGCACAGACAGTGACATTCCAGCTAAAGGGGTCTCACGGTCCTGACAGCTTTGATGGCGCTTCAGGGATGAGCCACAAGAGTTTACAGGAAAAAAACACCCAGCAGTCTCGTCAGCACGTCCAGGAAAAGATCTCGGTGGGATTTAATCGGATAAAATTCTGTGTTATTTTCCTACTTACAGCACTGCAGAGGTTCGATTTTAAAACTCCTAAAAGATGTCAACTTCCTAAAAACAGAGCGGGGAGGCTGTCTAGGTAGAATTTGTGATACGAAAAATACTTGGGATTGTATATATATCATAGAGATATGTGAGATAGATACTTTGATATAAAAATGTATACATATTTATACATGCACGTACATCCTTCCTATCACGGACTCTGCCGGTCTGTCAGCCTGCGCCTGCGGCTGCTGAGCGCTCTCCGCTCAGTCCTGAGGAAGTCTTTGCCCAATGTGTTTTCCAGATTAACTGTTTTCTCTTTTCCTTAACAATATGTGTGAATCGAATCAGTTGCACTGACTGATGACACGCCTTTCGGAGAGCTTCAGGGGAGGGGGACTGGCGAGCGGCTGTGCCGGGGGCAGCGGGGTGCTGCCCTGCCCCGGGCTCGCGGCTCCGGGGGGCACTGTGCCATGAGAAAAGGCCGTGACAAAAACGATGCGAAGACAACAGTGATTTAAAATAAGGGAGTTGTCAGCCCTTTCCTCCTCGCCGTGAAAAAGCGGGCGGTGGTGTGCAGGATGCGCTCTTGGTCCTTCCCAGCTATGCCTGAACTACCGGAGTGGTTTTCGGCCGGGGGGAGAGCCACCCCGCTGCCCCGGTGGGGGTTGGTCCCAGCGCGCCCCCGGCACCTCCTGCGCAACGCGGACCTCGTTTTTAAGAGGTGCGTCGCTTTCTTCCGAGAAGCGAGGAATCGGGGGTTTTAAACTTCAGGACTTCCTCCCAGCGGCCGTACTCCCTTCGCTCCCACGGGACTGAAGACTTCCTGCGTCCCTCTGCGGCGCTGCCGGGGTTCCGATGGGGCCACCCGCCTGGGGACGCGGCCGGCTGGCAAGGAGTCGCCGGTAATGCCCTTCTGCCCGCGCTGGGCTGGCCGAGGAGGGGATGCCGAGGAGGGGACGGGTCTGGGCAGCCGGTGGAGCGCGGCCAGGCACCGTGCACCCGCGCGAAGGGGGGGGCGAAGGCGAAGACTGCTTCAGAGATCTCCCCCAACGCTCAGAAAGGTGTTTGTGACAGCCCTTCAGGTTTCGGCTGGCAGCTGACTCGACATTTTTGTAACGTTTGTGGCGTCTTGCCGTGTTGTGTAGTCCTTGTGAAGCGCAGAGGGCGAGAGTGACGCGGTTCCTAGTCGCGTTTTTTAGCCCCTTGCAGGTGTATATTCAGCTGACGGGGTTTTACTTTGGGAACGTAACACTGGAGGGGAAACGCAAACTCGAGCTTAAAAACTTCCCGTACATTATAGATTTGGCACTTTGTAGCTTTGTTTGTTCATTTGTTTACCCAAACGAAACTCTCCACAACGTTGGTGCTGCGCTCACCTCCCGACACCCCGGCAAGCGCGCGCTGCGCTTGATTTGCCGGAAAGGATGAAAATTGATGGTTTAAGCGGAGAAGTGCGTGCCGCCGGGCTGGGGCTGATCCTGCGTCTGTGCACACAGCTCCCGCGCCGCGGGCGGCCGCCCAGTCCCTAATTGCGGGACTTTTTTGTATTTAATGTGTGCTCTGTGAGTTCTCCAGTTGAATGATGAAGCTGCCTTTTTTTGCTTAATGTGACTTTGTCTTGTTTTGACTATTTCCCAGCGGATGACCTTCCTCCCCACCCCCCCCCTTCTAAACATCCAGTCTTTTAAATATTTGCACAAGTTTTTCAGCTATTTTCTTTGCGATTGCTTAAGCCGAGCTGGGAAATCCGCAACCGCGATACCCAAAAGATGATGATCAGCAACTTCATTCTTCCATGGAAGACTTGCGGGGTTTTTTTTTGCTGGAGAGAACTGGTAATAGCTCTCGAAACCGCCGTGCAGTTAGCTGCACTTGGGCTGCCGTTCCCTGCCAGCACGTCCCGCAGCGATATTCATCAGGAATGTTTGCTTTTTGGTGTGTTGCTTAAGCGGCGCTGCCTTCCAAAAGTCACTGGTTTGGGCAGATGTACTGAGGAGCGCGAGAAGGGAATATTTACGCTCCGGGAGTCGGGGGCTTGGCTGACTCCCGGAGCCCCTCCAGCCTTCACCTGCTCTTCAGCTTGTGCAAACGTAACCTCTTCGGAGGGGTCTTTGCCTCGCCTGTTTTCGGGAGATAACTTTCACTCTCTCTTTCCGCAGATTGACATTCTCCTTTTGATTTTTCGGGGGTGGCTGTTGCCAAACCCCACCGGGGGTCGCCGGCTTGAGGGGAAACGTGCCGGTTGGCCGTTCGGCTGCTGCCTGGGGTTCTGCGCTGGGTCGGGTTCGAGTGTTTCATCCCGTTGATGGTCGTTAAGTCGTTCAGGGGGCGATGCAGGAGGGAAGCGTTTGGCTGATTTGTTAATTGCCAGGGTGGCGTGCGGGCTGGCAGCCCCTCTCCGGCCCCTTCGCAGCGCTCCCGGGGAAAGGCAGCTCTGGGTCTAAACGGCATCTTCGGAAGCTGATACCCAAACCCTGTGGTTTTCTCACCCGTGGCAGCTGAAGCCCTTTTCCCTGGGGGAAAACCACAGCAGTTCTTCTCCTTTGGCGTTCATTCTCGGACGATTTCACGGGGGCGCAGTCCTCCAACTCACACTTACTCTATTTCGGCATCATCCGTCAGTGGATGCTTTAGGTTTCCCCTGCTTTGCCTTTGTGGGGTTTTAAAAAAAAAATAAATAGCCTTCAGTGTTGGCTTACAGAGCAGGGTCTGGCGTTGGGCGGCCGGCGTGCCACCGGGGTCCGGAGCGGGGAGGGCTCGGGCGCTGCTCCCCCACTGGGAAGGGTTCCCCCAGCGCGGCTCCTGCCCCAGAGCTGGGCTGGGGGCTCCTCTCCAGCCCGGGCTCTGCTCTGGTCCACTCTACCAACTGGAAACTAATTAACACCTCTCTAAGAGGGCGCTGGTGGAACCCACAGATCCTTCCAGGTGTATTTTGCCGTTTTCAGTCCGACCCCCAGAAAGTTGTGACACAACGACCAAAAGAAGCTTTTTCGTTCTGGTTTTCCCTTTTTTTTCTGGCTTGTTGCGATCAAGGCCGTGCCTAATTAACGTGGTGTAACTCTGCTGGCGCGGCAGTACGGCCCGGCCGTGTAACAAACGGCTGCCCGCTGGAGAGGGCTCGGGGGTGGGCGGGCTGCGGACCGCGCCACGGGGGGGGCGGGAAAATAAATAGCCTTCAGTGTTGGCTTACAGAGCAGGGTCTGGCGTTGGGCGGCCGGCGTGCCACCGGGGTCCGGAGCAGGGAGGGCTCGGGCACTGCTCCCCCACTGGGAAGGGTTCCCCCAGCGCGGCTCCTGCCCCAGAGCTGGGCTGGGGGCTCCTCTCCAGCCCGGGCTCTGCTCTGGTCCACTCTACCAACTGGAAACTAATTAACACCTCTCTAAGAGGGCGCTGGTGGAACCCACAGATCCTTCCAGGTGTATTTTGCCGTTTTCAGTCCGACCCCCAGAAAGTTGTGACACAACGACCAAAAGAAGCTTTTTCGTTCTGGTTTTCCCTTTTTTTTCTGGCTTGTTGCGATCAAGGCCGTGCCTAATTAACGTGGTGTAACTCTGCTGGCGCGGCAGTACGGCCCGGCCGTGTAACAAACGGCTGCCCGCTGGAGAGGGCTCGGGGGTGGGCGGCCTGTGAGCGCTGCAGCGGGGGGGTCGTGCTTCGCCGGCTGATCCCGGAGCGCAGCGGGGCTTTCTCAAAGCCGCCCCCGCCCAATGCCTTCCGGCACCGCAAGAAATTAATTTGCCTGGTACGATTTTGGTAGAGACTCTCTATCCCGCTCCCACCCAGACCGGACTGATCCCGGGGTGAGAGAGAGGACTTTCCTGGAGCTGCTGCCCTCTTGGTGGTGAAACGCACCCACCTGTGGTTGGATTACGATGCTAAAGAGTAACTGCAGCTGCTTAATTTATCCTCACTGCGCTGTCCCGTTTGAAATAAAGTATTTATAAGTGACGGAGCAGGGGATCCCGCGCAGTCGCCCGTGTTGCTGGTGCTTTGTGTGCCGATCCGGCCGCAGGCGAGGCAGTCTCGTACGCGACGCCCTCGTGCTGCTGCGGGTGGTGGCTGTGCCAAAGGCCATAGCAGATGAGGGAAAGTAGGGGACAACGTCATTGTTTATACATCGCTGGTTATATAGAGAATAATGCGGGTTACGCTTTGTATGTCAACACGACCACTACTGCTGATGTTTTGAAGATGCGCCGAAGTAACCCGATGTACTCCGGGTGAAGCTGTTTCTAAATAAAGGTGGATAACGAGTTGTGACGGGTTGCGAGTACTCCATGCTCAGCCTTCGTCATCCTCACGGCCGTCGTCGGCCTCGGCAGGGCAGGAGCGGGGAAGGAGGTGCCGGTGGCCACCTTGGGCGGTGGCCATGGCTGCTGCGGGCCGCCGGGGCGTTCGCCCCTTCTCCTTCGGGTTTCTCTGCAGAGAGAGAGAGTGGTAACGCCGACTGCGCTCCAGCGCTCCTCCAAAGGCGCCCGGTGGGCAGGAAGGTTTGGGCTCCCTCACGGGGTAGGCAGGAGGGATTTTGGTTGTGTTAAGTCACTTGGCGTGCGAGCGCACCGCGCTCCCCCCATCCCCATCCGCGGGAGGGGTGAGCGTGGGAGAAGTCCTCTCTCGGGAGGTGGTGTGAGCACAGACGGCGGCGGCTGTCCCCGGCCCCCAGTCAGGGCTCTTCGGGGGCGGGGGGGCAGCTTCTCCGTAATCTCTGCCCTTTTGTTCCCTCCCCACGGTGAAATTGTGGCACCATCCAGTGCAGTGGGTGACCTGGGGGAGGATTTCGGTCTGCCCAAGAAAAGGAGCCGACACGA